AATTGCTTTGTTTTTGGAACTAGGTATTTTGTTCAGAACGAGGCTGGGTAAAATTGCCTCGTTTACTAAAGGTTTATTTTTGTTCAAGATAATTATTAGCGGTATTTGCTATCAACAGATAGAGTCATACAACTAATGTTCCGACCATCACGTGACAAATTGCAGATCTAAAAATTAGATTATTTATTTGGGGCATGATATTGTTCATAGTTATGGCCTACTATACTATATTGTAACGATAATTAAATAATATGGCAATCTTTATTTATGGGAAAAAGAGAATTAATTTCCCAAAATCCCAAAAAGATGACTGGAATATTTATTGGATGGAATGTGAAAGATTTTCGGATTTGTAGTTTTCTAGCTTGGGTGGATTTGTGATTTGAATCCATGTAATGAAGACAGTGAACAATTCGATTACGGTATATTATGGTAAACTTTTTACAGGGTATTAAGTTACATATATATGCCCTTTTTATATTAGCTTCTCGTCACATATCTGCATTGTGATACTGCTTGTGAACTATACATATATCAGCCATCGCATTTTTTATAACTTCAGTGACATATGCTAGTCAAAACTCGAGGTCGGTGTTTTATACATTTTATTATAAAATTGTAAAAATATATATTTTACATGAATGAATACCAAAGACAAACAGTCTTAACCTGATGGGAAGATGTTAAATCTAAATTTTATTTATACTATTTTATTTAACAAATATTTTATTCACGGGATAACGAAGCAAGCCAATGGCTTATATAAATCGGCTTCCCAAAAGCAAGATACATACGATATACCATGTATTATGATCAATATACATGTATGTAGAGTATTTAAGGTAGTGTACGTAAGATTACAGAAAGAATATAATCAAGTGTTAACCAACATCAGAACCCAAAAAGGATCGATATTCGACTGCTTAGTTTATATGAATTACTCTAAGACTTTGGGGTGCCGGGCGGAGATCCAATAAAATAATGAGATCCGTAATGAATTTAGAATAAACTATATCTAAATACTAGTTCACGGGTCTGATAAAAATCATATTTGGAGTTGATATTTATTTATTGTTAAATGTCAAAGCGCTTGGTTAGATTAATTAAACCATGAACAGCAGATACAATATTTTTGTTAGTTTATTTGTCGGATCTGGTGTCTCCATAAAGTAAGACGCGAGTGTCTTGTTTGTCGGGAGGAAGATTTTTGATAATTATTTGCCGTTCATTAAAAATAATTTGGACCGTGTTATGGCAGCATCAACATGATGTATTGTTTGATTCATGCATTGGGAATGTGTGGAAATTAAGATTTCTGTTATTTAATACGAAAATAAACCCAGTCCAAACTATAATATTCTATTATAACACGTTTTTGCCACGTTTGGACAAAAATGCCGAACGGGGCATTCTGAGGTTTATAGTGTGACGTGTTTGCAAAAACAGAAACCAACTGATGCGTTAGTCCAATCTTTGACACACCCCTCGCAGTGTTTCCTTTGATTCGACATAATATCACTCAGGTCATTGCATCAGGATTATTGATTTTGACGACCAGTAGAAAGTCAAAAGAACAAGGTACTTCGTTTTTTCAGTATTGTCAAAAGATCTGAGGTTTTCGAGAATCTATGCATAAATGATGTCTGTTGTTGTTCTTGGTGCTTAACGTCTGCTTCCACTGAAGGTGATATCGCAGATTTTCATTATCTTAAAGCATACGCAGGGGCCTTTCTTTGTGAGGAAACCGGAGTCCATGAGTAAACACACGAGGTTGAGAAGGTGCCACATACGCTCACACCAGGTGTAACACTATTTTAGTGATAACAGAGATCAGTTTAGTAAATATAGGATTTATTTACATCAGGTATATAAAATATCTACATACAAGACAATACAGGAAACTAAACTAGTATACAGGTACTAGACTACGACAGTAACACATATAACTATGTTAAATCCACCATTCTGCCCCTCTGCCAATTCAGCGGCTGAACTCGGGTGAGTCCATACGCCGGTCTCCCCGTCTCTTTTTGCCCTCCCCTGTCCGTCTTTAGTTGTCTTGTTTAACTGTCAGTGAACTCCTCATTATATAGCGCCGGAGAATAGATAAGACACAAGGTCGTATGCAATTGTCTCTTTTATCTCGTCATGGCATGCTTACTGATCAGTGCATATTCCTTTGAAGTCCTGCTGAGTGTTGCAGACAGATCATGTGCAGTCCGTAAATGACATATTGATTTAATTACATGTTTAACTACAACACAGACAATCGTGACTTAAGAACAGTGCATACATAATTAAAAGGTCAATAATATATATTATCAAAACAACTGGAGGTCAACAAGTTCAATTTGATAAAAGTTATAGAGTACTTTGTTACATTTCCTAGCCTACCCAAAAATTATTTACTAAAATAAATAACAAACTAACACCATTCTCACAGGTGGGACACTGGCTTCAAATATGATAATATAATATGCAGAATAACGTAACATGACACACGACACCATAACAGTACACATGATATAAAGTCATTTCTAAACATTACTAAAAGGGAATTCATATAATCAAAATATAATTTTAAGAAAAAAAATAGCAAACATTTTTAGAAAATACAAAAGATACATATAGAAAATAACAACTTTCCCTTTACAACGGGCTATATACATTAGGCGATATTGTCAGAAAATATGGTCTCAGCTTTCATTTGTATACCGATGATACTCAATTATATATTTCATTTACACCTAATTGTCCATCTTCTTTCAATTTATCAAAATTGCAACTTGAGAACTGTATTCGTGAAATAAGAAAATGGCTGTCAAAGAACTTTCTAAAATTGAATGATGATAAAACCAAATATTTGTTATTAGGCTCAAGGCATCAATTAAAAAAATTTGCACATGCTACCCCCCCCCCCCCTGTTGTTATTGGTAATTGTGATATATTTTCATCTGGGACAATCTTTGATAGTTTTATGCTTATGGGAGCTCAAGTAAGTAATATTTGTAAATTGTGCTATTTTAATATCAGAAATATAGGTAAAATAGAGGCCACTAAGCCACATGTTAATTCTCTGGTCACTTCTCGATTAGATAACTTTAATTCACTTTTAGTTGGTTTAACTTTAAAGCTTATAGATACATTACAAAAAGTACAGAATACTGAGGCTAGACGTGTTACTTTAACTAAGAAATGTGACCACATAACTCCTGTTTTATATAATTTCCATTGGTTACCTGTTAAATATCGAATTGATTTTAAGATTTCATTACTTACTTTTAAATGTTTAAATATAAATAATTTGGCTCCCGTTTACCCCTCAGATCATTTAGAACTTTATACACCTGGCCGAACATTACGTACATCAGATAAACTACTTTTAAAGCCCAAAACTGTTCAACTAGTCTCTTATGGTCAGCGCTCTTTTAGTTATCAAGCACCTGTTGTTATGGAATAATCTACCATTTAGTTTAAGATGTTGTACATCTCTATATTCTTTTTAAAAACAACTTAAAACACATTTATTTAATCGGGCTTTTAACTGAATCTGTATACAATCGTTAACATGTCCATAATCTTGTTTATTTATGATTACATTGTCACTATGTAAAGTGCCCCTGAACATGATTGGTATATGAAAGGGCGCACTATAAATATGCTGTAATAATAATAATAATAATAATAATAATAATAATATACAAAACACACAAAAATATAACATAGGAGATAAAACCGTGAATACTATGTGAATGTTTGCAAGTTAATATCTTCACCGCAAATACAGCGATGGACGATGAAAAATCTATTCAACCGTCTATTCAAGAACTTCCCAATTAGGATCTTAACTCAATTCCAGCTAAGCAATCACAAAATATTTTACGTTTCAATATAAACCTCTTAATACTTTGTGACAATTCATTACTGTCAATGGTTATTTTAAGCGCACGTCAATGTGAACGCGGGACCTACGTTCTCATCCCATGTAAATGACCATACTTTGTCCCTTGCCGGAACCTTCGACATTCAATACTGACAAGATGAGCTTCTCGGTCAACACAGAAATCGAACACGGGAACTCCAGCTAGTGAACCAACATCTTGTTCACTGAACCACGGTGGCCCGACCAAGGTGAACCAAGAGGTTGGACAGGAATCGAAACTACGCCACATGACTCAATGACAGGCCTTCTGAACCAACGCGCACGCGTTAACCATTCGGCCACCCATCACCCCTTCCAGTTTAGAAGAGACCAGCATTGACAATGTGGCTTTCTCAGGCAACATAGGGATCGAACATGGGACCTCCAGGTTAGCGTGCCAGCATCGTCTTCACTGAACCCAGTTCAGATAAGACAACCGACCAGCATTGTAAAAATAAAGCTTATTTACATCAGTAATAATTTAATATACATAATTATATATTTAATAATGACAAGGGAGGACCACGCCAAACATATCCCGATGTACTTTCTAGGACAACGCCAGGAGCGCACACGGGACATCCTGCCAAGCGATGCAGCATTGTAAAAATAAATTTTATGTAACTATTAACATAATTATATATTTATATATAATATTATTATATAATCAGTACACAATAAACATAAAATATAATCAGTAACAATAAAGATACATTATAACCAGTAAGAATAAACATAATATATATTTATATATAATGTTATTATATAATCAGTAAACAATAAACATAAAATATAATCAGTAACAATAAACATAATATATATTTATATATAATGTTATTATATAATCAGTAAACAATAAACATAAAATATAATCAGTAACAATAAACATAATATATATTTATATATAATGTTATTATATAATCAGTAAGAATAAACATAAAATATGATCAGTAACAATAAACATAATATATATTTATATATAATGTTTTTATATAATCAGTAACAATAAACATAAATATAATCAGTAACAATAAACATAAAATATAATCAGTAACAATAAACATAAAATATAATCAGTAACAATAAACATAAAATATAATCAGTAACAATAAACATAAAATAAATATATATATATTTATATGTAATGTTATTATATAACCAGTAACAATACTCACTAAAGGCAACCACTTCCGTCTCACTTCTCAGCTACAAACTAACTCGAATGAGTCTAGAAGCCTTATTACAAAACTGAACGTTCCATTCCGCTAAAGACAGGTGTACATCCAATTAACATCTAAACAGAGAAACATGCTCTGCTTAAAATCAGGTGCGAGAGTTTATCAGATCCTAATTATTCACACTAATGGGTTCAGGCTTCAACTTTTACTATTATCATTATGCAGTTTATATGGCACAATTTCCATGACTAAGTAAGACATATGTAAATATTGAAATCAACTTAAAATCTAATAAATTTCACTAATGCATACACGATCATTACTAATTATATAATATTCAAGAAATAATTAGAAACTTAAATGTAATGCATAAATTTAAATGAATGTCGTATTACGTAGGAAAAGTTTTCTTAAATCAGGCCAACGCTGAACACGTTTACACGTTTCTGCCGATTTGCTGGTAATATTTGTGATTAAATGAATTATGAATAAAAGAACAGATAAATAAATGAATGAATAAAAAATTGAACGAATGAAGAAATGAACGAATGTAAATGAATTAATAAAAAATGAAGACATAATTAACCTGACCCTTCCTCTCTCAAAATATAAAACACAAATTTATATGGAAAACAATCACTGGGTTTATTTCACACTACGTTTCAACAAGTTTCTTTTGTCGTTCTCATTACTTACTTGAGAACGACAAGAGGAACTTGTTGAAACGTAGTTTGAAATAAACCCAGTGATTGTTTTCCATATAAATTTGTGTTTTATATGATATGTTCATATGCCTCTGCAATAAGACTTTTTGCTTTGGCCATTTTTGACGTCATATTTAGACCCTTTGCTTTAGTTCAATTTCAGCCAACTTTTGAAAACAACCATAAAACGTTTTCTTGCAATTTTTTTTAGGTTGGCCCATTTATTTCATACTTTGGCCCTACTAATATACATAACATCGTCAAATTGTACCAATGCAGAATATTGAATGCCGTTGCTTTCTTGTTCATCATCTAAATCATATATACAATTTTCATTCTCTTGATAACTGACGCAATGAACAACGGACCCACCATCTACACCAAGGCAACCGAGTGTGCTTAAGTCATCAAAATGTGTTTCACGAATATTCTGTTTCTGTGTAACGATATAATCCACCTTCGGTCGACATCCAAAACAATCCATGAATCTTTTTTTTATATCGTGTATGGTAGTAGTTGGTCCTACTGATATCCACTGATGTCGTCTCTCGGAACGTAGCCTGTAAAATATTTTAAAACCTGTAAAGCCAGTTTAAACAAAATGATTCATATGTTGATGATATTCTCTGATTAATGGGGGTATCCCACCCTATCCAATGCTATTGGCGTACAAGGAGCGTTTAGAGTGGGTGGCTTCACATATGTCATGATTCCTGCACAGATGCCTAGCAAAACCGAAGTTGTATTAAACAAGTACCACCCTACATGGATAAGGAATTCGAACTTAGATGCCGTCGCTCCCGTCTTGTAATTGTGAAGTCATATTAAAAATAAAAGTACTCCAATCGATATCGATGCGCAATTGTCCAACAAACAAGCATGCCAAGTTTCATGTCGATCGGGGGGTTGGATGGTCGAATGGTTAGCACGTGCGTGCTGTATCATAAGGCCTGTCATTGGGTCAACTGGCGTGGTTTCTAATCCCCGGTCGCACGTGACAAGGAGTAGGGTCGCCTGTTCAACCTCGTGGGTTTTCTACGGGTCCTCCGGTTTCCTCCCACTGCTAAAGACCCCTACGCGCAAGCGAATTATGTAAATAAAATTAAACCATATGTTAGTCCCGAAATGACCTAGTTTGTGTCGAGCGGACGTTAAACCCCATTTCTCTCTATCTCTCTCTCTCTAAAGCAGCAATGATGTGCATCTGTGGTCTCCGATTTCCTCCCACTGCTAAAGACGCCTACGCGCAAGCGAATTATTGAAATAAAATTAAACCGTATGTTAGTCCCGAAATGACCTAGTTTGTGTCGAATGGACGTTAAACCCCATTTCTCTCTCTCTCTTTCATGTTGATCACAAAAAAGAACTACAAGAACAAGATGAGTAGAGCTTGCGGTGCAAAAACAGAAACATGTGCTTTGAACGCGTTAGCAACGTCTTAATATTAATTTAATAAAAATGGTGTTAGTTTAATGTATAAACTGGAGGGGTGGGGCAATGCGCTATAGATCAGAAGGTCATTGAGTCAAGGGGTAGGGCTGCCTGTCCATCCTCATGGGTTTTCTCCGGGTCCCTCGGTTTCCACCCACTGTTCAAGATCCCTTCGCGCAATGGATTTATTGAAATAAAAATTGAACCTCATGTTAGCTCCAAAATAACCAAATTTGTGTCGAGTGGAGTTAAACCCTAAACTGGTAATAAGATGGTAGCTAGGGGGTGGCAGACCTGGGGATAAGATGAGACGCTGGGAGTGTTGAGAGGTCATCTAGAGAGGTGAAACAAAACCAAAAAACATAAATTTATAACTGTACCCATTTCTGTGTTTGATAAGGATTTCAAAATCGCGGTTTCTAGTCATTCCATTTGTAGTTGATCGTCGTCCACTGCTCCGGTCAGCGCCAAATACCTGAAACTCATTGGTTAGTGTTGCATCACCAGGACTGCGGTGTACATTCATGCGTTGCATCTCTGTCAGTGATGAAATGCTTCTGTAACTTGAACTAATCGCAGTGATGTAATCCACGGTCTGACTGGTAGAAATAGGTTCATAAGCCGCTAATATGTCAAGTTGTGTCTCTGTGATTGTCATGTCGCCAATATTGTAATATTCCCTCTCTTCCAAAGGACGGTGTCTATCACCATCCAAAAGTTCCGGAGGAATTGTTGCATCGCTAATACTGTTATAATGGGGATCGGCATTTACGCTCATCGGAATTTGGTGATGATTATTTGACGACGACGGTTGATGAATCGGTATGTTTGACAGTCTATCTCTGATTTCTGTTAATAGAGTCAGGATCGTTGCATGCCAGTTCGACAGGGGTCGCCTGCAATGTAAGAATTTTAAATTTGTTATATTTTTCTGAAAGGGCAAGTAATTGTTGCGAAGTATAATACACCTGATAAGGAATGAAACAGATATTCCTTTGTGTCGCACCGGTGGAACGAGTTGGCATGCCCTGCCTCCTGCAGGACCCCATCCACTAATAATAATCCGTGGCTATAGCGTGGACTCACCTATAATCATACTGAGCACCAGCAGCACCACCAAGCATCATCTCAGCTGTAATGTCATCATATATTGAATCGACTATTGGCTGTTTAACTTGTGTGTCATCAATGTTCTGGCTAGCTTGAGTATGGCTCTGTGATTCATCATCGTATACATCATACTGAGCACCAGCAGCACCACCAAGCATCATCTCAGATGTAATGTCATCGTATATTGAATCGACTATTGGCTGTTTAACTTGTGTGTCATCAATGTTCTGGCTAGCTTGAGTATGGCTCTGTGATTCATCATCGTATACATCATTCGTATCAGTATTAGTAAATTCTTCATATCCCGTTTGATCATGGTATTCATTGCTAGTACCAGATTCCGTTTCATTTTCATTTTCTATTCTTGAAACATACATTGATTGGTAATTTCTTACTGCGCTCGTTAATTCATTCAACCCCACATTTATACTGCTATACTGACGTTCTAGCACCGCCATTCGTCTCTCTAAACCAGTGACATTATTAGCGTTCACACATGTCTCTTGGTTTTCAATTTTGATATTGTTCTTTTCCCCAATCTGAATATTTGTCTAAAACATATAAAAAGTTATTCTTTACATTGAAATTTAAAAAAAGCAGCGGTTGCCAGGCAAGATACGGCCACATTTGGCAAGAGATGGATAGAGAACAAGCTAAAAAAATAACAAACGATTTTTGGTACGATCAGAGGTCATAATCCTGAAGTTATGCGCGAATATCGAAAGGAACCAAGATCGTTGGGTTATAAAAGTGCTTTTCAAGTTTCATCAAAATAGGCTGAAAATTCTGAGATAGAGAATTGACATTTCTCACTATAATGGTTAAAAGAATAAATAATGAAAAGGGAATATATTGAAAATTTCAGTCAAATAAATTACTTCATTCTGAGTGGAGTTATTATCGTTTGCGGAACAATGTAGTCTTGATTGTCAATGCTTCTGTGTTCACGATAAAAAAATAAAGTCTAAATTATTCATTTTTGAATTAAATTATTAACTAGCAATCGTGTTTAAATCAGTTGAAAATCAAAAGCATCCGATGGTCTATACAGTGCTAGGACTATCTAGGAAAAAGTGCTAAATTTTGGATGTTTGGGTTTGGTCCGGTTCACTGATTTTAATTGCTTGGTATGCTGATCTAAACAACATGTCCGTCTTGAGTAGCATTGCCCTAATATAAATTACATAAGCGTTGACAACTATTAACCGGCCAGTGGGAGTATCAAATAACTTAACATTTTAATTTCTAAAATAAAAATCTCATTTCATATAAAGTCTTTGATATCAGTTGTTTAGTCTTCCAAAAACCAAGTTTTATCATGCTGAGCTATTTTTGTACGCCCATATTTTCAAGTGGACGTGTATTGAGTCCCCCCTGTCAGCCCACAATTTATTTGTGGACACGCGGTTCCTTTCGATATTGGCATTTTATCCAATATTAAAAGCTGTTCTAACATATCACCATTCCACCCTCATCATGGTTGAGTTTGAATTTCATGAAAATTGGATTGAAACTGCCCGCTCCTCGTTCGCAAATAGTATAAAAGTATATAATACCAAGGTTGTGGACACTGTAGAAGTCACAATTTTTTTTATCCGATTTTGATCAAACTTAAAATATATGTCTATATTCCACGGATTTTTGTTTCTTTTCATATTCGCACATATCGGTCCGTAACCTCCTAGATTATGGACCATGGGTGTACCAAAAATTACAATTTATACCCGATTTTAAAAACCGTTTAAATATACACCGTTACACCCTGGGTTTGAATTTTGTGATAATCGGATCGAAGGCTGTGGTCCCTCTAACGATTTGTATCCGGTTTTGAAAAAAACTTAATATTATATGTTTATGTATCAAAGATCTCGGTTTGATGTTCGCGTATATCGGGCCTAACTTTTTGCCTTGTGGTCCCTATTGTACGAGAAATTGTAAGAATAATACTACGAGTTCTTGATGTGGAAATTTACACGGAAATAATTATTTATGGCTAGGGATATGATATCATATCTTTCTTATCTAAATTACATATATATATATAAGCAGGATCTAATTTAGATAAGAAAGATGTGGAAATTTACACGGAAATATTTCTAGCCATAAATAAATATTTCCCTGTAACTTTCCACATCAAGAACTCTGTGGTGACAGAGAATATAAGTAATATTGTTATAATACATTATTAAAGGTGTACTGTTTTGTTGACATTGACAATAAATTCGCGTTAACAAAATTAGCGACCTTTGATTTTGGCTTGCTGTCGTACTGTTGTCTTTTCGCCTCAGAAGTTGATATAGTCTCTACTTTCAAGGTCACTTTTCGACTTTTGTGTTTTGAAGGGGCGAAAAGTAGAAATTATGAATGGTAGTTGTAGGCTTCCATAAGATTGTAAGACAAAATAAACATTTTACCATTGGTTCACGAATGCCTTTAAGGACGGGGCTAGATATATTCCACAAGTAACTCAAACGGTTACGTCATATTCCTATCTGGAGAGCATGCGCAATAAATACTAAATCAGTTTATGTACATTCATATTACATTATTATTTGTGTTGCGAACCATTTGTGTCAATTTCTAGGTCCTAAATATTAGCGATTTAGCTCTTTTAAATAACAAATACATGTAGATTGTTTTGGGTTGACCTTTTCCCAGTATGTAAATAATCAGTAAATGTTCATATTTTTGCACCAAAATAGATCATTTTGGATCAAATTTTCTTTTACTGATAATTGATAAGTTCGTAAATAGTATTGTACGATGGATCAATAGGCCATTAATATTTCGATATTGACCCCTTTCTATAGAAATCAATATATAATTGGCAAGAGTTATACAATCGTAATGTGCTCAACAACCCTTGTTTTACTTATGAATATTTATCTCCCCAAGAAAAAGTTCCAAAATCATTTAATTGGTTAACATCAAATTGGTCAATATCAAAGTATATGAGTAAAATAATGAAAGATATTTTATACCCTGGCTTAGACAAGCTGCTGTAGATATTACATCAAATTAATAAGCTTATTATTACATTATGTAATATTTGAATCAATTTTTTTTAATTTTATTAAATTGTTATTAAATTGTTTATTTCTGTGTTTAATTTGATTAGTTTTTCTTATTCTCTTATTCAAATTTCATAGAATCTGATTCCAAACCCATCTAGCTTTAGTTTTACATTCTAAATATAGAGCAGTGTAATATGACACTTATACAATACACCATCTGAATAGATAATAATTGGGCTACAATTTATTGTCTTTGAGAGGTTGATGACAGGATTCTCTTCAACAAATCTTTGAGGTCACATTCCCAAACTTGAAGAAATCTGGCTGATTTCTAGTTGGTCTTAAGACTGTATAGCGATGATTGTAGGCTTGTCATGTGAAGAAATGTTTGTGTTAAATAGCTTGATTTAACGAGGTGATATCGCTGACAATTGAATAAATGTCTAATTAATGATTAATATAACATTTGAGGCCAAACGAAAGACCTGCATATTTAGCTCTTATATAATGTATCTTTAAGAAAACAAAAAATATCAAATGTAAATACCCCCACCCCCTCCAACTGGACAGGATTCAACCAAATCTAACAGCGGTCCACCAATAGACTTCCGCAAACATCATAGATGGTGTTGGCTTGTGCTCACTGCAGTATATAGGAAGCTTTATATACAATCGGCAGTGGTCTTTAATTCATCATTTCTTTGAAAATAGGGAATGGAATTGAACCAGGTTTAGATCTATATTGTAGATTGGAAGACATTTTAAAACTATTCCGCATATAACAAACAATCAGATATTTTAATTCTTATATAATTGTTTAGCTTCTTACCTGTCCTTGGGAGTGAATATGAAAATTGCTGTTCTGCAAAGTAAATAAATACATGTCATTAGCAATTCTTAATTTAAATACAATCTTCAATACCTCCACCCCCCCCCCACTCGCCAAAAAAAATAAAAACAAAAATACAAGTCTATAATAATCCCTTATTAAGACAAAAGAGTCAACACACATAATATTGTAATGTGACATTGCGAAAATAGCGGACAATAACAGAATGATTGAGATGGGGTTTAACGTCCCACTGTTCTGCTGCAACCGGGATAATTAAGATAGGCATACCCCATGCAGTGCAGTGTGCTATTAGCAAAATTCTTTGTGAGATTCAATATATATTATTACACACTATGAAATGAAATGGGTTTTAAAGTCCTACTTTTCTGCTTCAACCGGGATAATTAAGATTGACATACGCCATGAACTGTGTTATGAGGGACATGGTGCTTGACAAACAATGGAATTCAAACTGTCGGAGTTTTTTTAACGCACACGCAAGGTGTACAAGGATATGGGTTGTTCGTCACATTCGGGCTACCTAACACCGTTTCATGCAGGACCTGGGTTGTTCGTCACATTCGGACTACCTAACACCGTTTCAAAGTAGGATTATGAAATGAGAAGCTGTTTTTTTTCTCTGTTCATCCTGCATGACTAAAAGGCAGCATTCCGCCCGAAGCAGTAATGTCTTATGTAAACAATGCACGCGCCATTCAGCCAATGATTGACGCCGCGTGCTGTGACGGCACGTGTTAAGGCAGTCATCTTTGACAGAGATATTACTACTAGACTCGTAATTCTCTGTAAAACAGATTGGTTTTCTCCCTGACGAAAGGGCAAGTCATCATAAGTTCATGTCCGTACACAGTTTACCGCTCAACGTAAGAACTATTTTCCATTTTAATAACCTGGGACAATTTACTACTCCACGGTTCAACAAATTTGGCGGGAACAGCAATATCACTGAATTCTAATTTTCAACCAAAAGTCATTAAAAGTACATCAGATGAAAATGGTTACTTTGTTATATTCGTAATACAAGTTGATGAAAAAAAATTGTAGTTCTTTATTTTAATAAATTATGTAATATGTTAACAAAAACTCTTGCAAAAAATATGATATAATATTTGTTGGGGAAGACTACAATAAAACTTAGACAAAAGTCGTGTTGGGGAGGGGGCGGGGGTTACAGAGCCTTAGGGGTAAAAAGCTATAAAAGAGGGAGAGAGGGCTGGAATAGTTAGACCTCACTGTATTCTTTAGAAGACCAGACATCTTTGGGTTCTTTAGAAAATCAAACATCATTGGGTTCGGTAGAAGTCTGATTGATTCTCATGATGTAGTGTATTCCTGAGTCTATCCACGCTGGTTAGACTTTTACAGGAGTAGAGGTTGAGAGAAAGAGATGTTAATTTTAAATGTTGTAACGTAAACTATTGTTAAACTGTTGTGACATAAAAACGTATAGACAAAAAAAACCCATCGTTGTTCCTGTTACAAAAGCCAACGGTAAAGCCTTAAAGAAAATAATTACAACAATATCTGAGCGAGAGAAAAACTAGACGACCACAAGCTAACACAGATCTGTGGCAGGAGAGAATATGTCGGATGTGGTAAGCTTTTTGAAGGTTGTGGGGCTTTCCATATCTGACCAACGACAATATTTCAATAAACGTGATCAAGATGATAAAGGAGGATTGTGGGATTTCTGCAAATCTAAAATAAATTAAAAATGAAACAATATTGTACTGTAAACGTAAACAAACTGTTGCCCGAAAATTAAAACGAGAGGTTACCATGCACGATACGCCCACATTTTGCAAGAGATGGACAGTGAACAGGCTAAAAAAAATAATATGATTTATTGTCCAATCAGGGTTCATAATCCAATGCATTTTTAAGACACATAACCGACCCTCCAATCATGTTTTGCTGGTGTGTCCCTAATATTCAGATACTCGAAATACAACAACAGAATAATCCTATCCTTATGCTATTGAATAAAATATAGTTCGGGGTTTTTTTTTAAAAAAGAAATGTTGAAGAGCCAAAGTGTCTTTTGAATAACGAAATTATACAAGAAACACCATGGAAAATTATTGATAAATACATGTATATTCTACAAAATCAGAATGGATATTTAATACCATTATCTATTTTTAATATTAGGGACATTGTCTCGACGCCTGTATATTCACATCTATTTCGGAATTGGTATAAAATATATAGATGCCATATTGATAGGTTCCCTTAAAAAATCAGTTGATTTGGAATAACCATAATTTAAGAACTACAATTTAGTCTTCAAACAACAAAATATTAATTAACTAATTATTTGTAGGGGATATTGAAGACTCTCCAAATAATATGTTAATTATCAAGTTGATGCAGGTCAATCGAATTGTATTTAATATTAAAAAGGTAAAGGAAACAATCAAGAAAACAGAATACCAAATATACCTGGAATACTAAAAAATTGTAAAAATAGATTAAAAACAAATTTAGATAACATTTTAAAAATATTATGTTGCATGCACCTATCCATTAAAACCTCAAAATAACTAAACAAAACCGCCAGCAATTGTCAATGAAAAAATATACAGTATTACTATAGAAGAAGACCAAGTTAAACACATTTTTTGACTCATGCGGAAAATAGCTAACAATTTAAAAAGGGTAACATTTTATTTTAGATAATATATTCAACATAATATAATTTATAAAATGAAGTTAACTAACTCATGACTGTGATGTTTGTAATTCTACTTCATAATAAATATAATTATATCATCTTGTCATTAAATGTAAGTATTTTCAAATAATATGGCAGAAACTATATGAAATATTATGCTATACACTTAAACACTTAGGAATAATTACACATAAGAATTTAAAAAAAAACGAAAAAGAATGAAATATTGTTAATTTACTTATATCTATTCATGTAAGTTTCAAGGAAATGTTCCAAATACCAGAAGTTATATTTCATATATTCTTGACAATAAAACTACAATGAGTTAATATACAGATTTAATAACAATATGTTATTATATGCTTCGATATATAATATACATCAATTATGGTTTCAACATGTAATTTTTATTTTTTCAGTATTAGTTAAAATTATCAATAAATTATAAAACAACTGTTGTAAACAAGTAATCAGGAGATTAGGACATCATTTAACTGGTCATATGAAGAATTTTCACGGTGAATATCTATCCATATATTCATTTGTAGGACCTTCCTTTCCAGACTCTTTGTCCCGCACGGCAGTGGTTATACTAAACTTAGGCTGTCTGTCTGCAGTTCGCTCCGTCTGAGAACAGACACTAAGCTAATTGACTGACATTGGGCAGTGGTGGGTCTTATCGAATATATTCAAATATAACAGCTACAAGTCATTGATAGTGCTTTCTAACCTTGTCGGGGGGTTGCCGTCTTCATTAGCCCAGGTTAGGAGCAGAACAGTAGCACGTTAAATTCCATTTCATTTGTCGGGGGGTTGGATGGCCGAATGGTTAGCACGTCCGTGCTGTATCATACGGCCTGTCATTGAGTCAACTGGCGTGGTTTCGAATCCCCGGCTGTACGTGACAAGGAGTAGGGTCGCCTGTCCAATCTCGTGGGTTTTCTCCGGGTCCTCCGGTTTCCTCCCACTGCTAAAGAGCCCTAAGCGCAAGCGAATTATTGAAATAAAATTAAACCATATGTTAGTCGCGAAATGACCTAGTTTGTTTCGAGTGGACGTTAAACCCTATTTCTCTCTCTCTCTTTCTACCATTGTCAGTTTTATTCGGGTCAACCGCTTCCATAGTCAATGACCAGTACTCGGAATCGAATCATTGAAATAAGGATAAACCATATGTTAGGTCCAAAATGACGTAGTTTGTTTCGAGTAGACTTGAATCTATACAATCAATGGAGAAGTCAATATATTTCAAAATATAAATTCGAATCATTATGGTGAAAAGACTTGGTTTTGAATTTATTTATTTATTTATTTATTTATTTTTTTGTTTCGTAATTAGGGTCTGGCCACTCAATTAGTTTTAAAATACCATACGGATAAGCCGATATTCACTCCATGTTATATGTGCGTCTACATTATGCATATAATATTCTTTTCAATAAATTCATAACATCATTGTTACTTAATATTCTGTTCTATATATTTATATCTCACCGTACCTAGTATGACACCGTACCTACTATTATATAAAATTGCGCTCGTGACATCTACATAAATAGGATTATCTATATGGCTGTTACTTGAGTTGATATTTTTTTCAATAAATTCACATCTAACCTGTACTTGTAACGTACAGTATATATGTTTTTGCAAGTGTCATATCTCCACTGTATAATATAAACTATTTACACACATCGCCATTTTCCGGCGTGGTTTCCCCTTGTCAGTGCTGCAGGGCGATGGTGTCTAGTTATTCGGATTGTGCGAAAAAACCGTGCACATTGGCGTGCACGTAAAATAGTCCATGACAGTGTAAGTCGTAGTGCCGCTGTCCGAGCAAAATTTCCCTCATCGCATACTGTAGGAGCAGAACAGTAGGACGTTAAATACCATTTCATTTCATTCATTTCTTGGGGCATGGAGTAACGCCCTTAAGATTAAAATGTTTTGAAGGGGATATGAATCCAACCTTCCATAGATAAATTGGTTTTAATGCGTTTTTAATCCAAATATCTCATCAAATCAAATCCGACATTATTTAGGCGGGGAGGGATCTGTAAGCCACTACCGACATGTTACAGTCACTGATTTCAATATGAAAATATCAAATAGATTAATAAACTATGAAGCCTTATTATGATTTCAAAGGGTGATCAGTTTATACATATCGATTATTAGTTAACTATGTATACAGTGTGTCCACATTACCCCTGTGGGAGAAGAACAGTAGGACGTTAAACTCCATTTCACAGCACAGTCTAATACCACAATCTCATATGTTGTGAAACACAGATCATGAAAGCAAGGTTTTAAGTATAAATGATACTTGCCTCTTCCATTGTGGCTGATATATTAAATTATGTAATGAATCTCTCGATCAAT